ATAACAGCAGTTAAAAGATGGTTCCTCAAATCCTTCCCGATCAGAGGATTTGCTGCTGGATGTAGTTTATCGTTATACCCAGAACGGTTTTTATTCGGTTCTTGGTAGTATTGCAACAATCTCTTTTACCGATCATACATTGGTGGTGAGACTATTTAATTCTGTTCTATTTTTCAGTCCTTCTTTTCTTCAATATATCCTGTGAGTATCATATTTTATAAACCCTCTTTCTCTAATATGTGCCTGAGAAACGTCTTCCTTCTCTCAATGCTGTCCAAAATAAAAACAAAGGCCGATACACATTTTCATTGGTCTCGTCAGAATGGAATAAGATACAGCTTTGAAGTACCTCTTATTCCGCGTATAATTTCGAAGACGTTCTTATGTTATGCTTTAGTTGAACACAAGAAGACACGTAGAATTACCGATTAATGGTATGGCATAATATATTCTGTCGCCGTTTATTTGGCACAGGAAAGACAGATTTTGTTTAAAATATTGATTTAGAGAGAAATGTAGGCAAATGACGTGATTAAAAGTATTAAGAAACAGAAAAAATGTCGCTAGAAACAAAGAAAAACGTAGTGAATTGTTATGTAATATCAGCCATCTTACATAGCAGTGAATACGGCATAATCTCCTCAGATATAAAGAAGAAACTTGATGCAATAGAAAGTTGGTTCTACAAAAGGATGTCGAGAATAGCACGGACTGAACGATAACGCTCTAGAAAAAAAAAATAAAGCAAACTTCTGGAAGAGACAGTTTTAATTTCTTGTGCACATAATGAGGATAGGGGCTTTGAAAAAATGACACTAGCAGGATATATTGAAGAAAAGAAGGACAGCGGAAAACAGCACAGAACCTATCTAACGATCTTGTGTAAATGGTTATTAGTTTAAGAGGGATAACAAAATGAAAACATTTTGTAATAGCTACAAATGACAGGAAATAGTGGAGAGCCATGATCGCAAACGTGGTGAAATGACATGGCACATTAAGGAAAATGCGCTCTGATATTCAATTAGTTTTTTTTTATTATTATTATACATCAGCAAACGGATGTGTAATTTCAAATGAACTTCATCTTGGCCAGCGTCTATAATAGGGAGTCCTACAGTATCTAGCCTAAGGGTATCATATCATCATAATCATCATAATCATTATCATCAACAACATATCACCATAATCATCATAATCATTATCATCATCAACATATCACCATAATCATCATAATCATCATAATCATTATCATCAACAACATATCACCATAATCATCATAATCATTATCATCATCAACATATCAACATAATCATCATAATCATAATAATCATTATCATCATCAACATATCACCATATTCATTATAATCATCATAATCATTATCATCATCAACATATCACATAATCACGATAATCATTATCATCATCAATATAATCATCATAATCATCATAAACATTATCATCATCAACATACCACTATAATCATTAGCATCATCAACGTATCACCATAATCATCATAATCATCATAATCATTATCATCATCAACACATCACCATAATCACCATAATCATTATCATCTTATCACCATAATCATCATAATCATCAACATATCATCACAATCCTCCTCCTCCTCCTTATTATCATCAATAATTCGATGACTGGGTGCTGTATTAGGGGCGTTGATCAAAGTCTAAATCACAAAGCATTTTAAAATACACAGACAATGAAGAAACACTGAAATCATACACTATAAACTATTTCTTTCGCATGCTGTTTTAGCCAGTACCAGGTTGCTGTCAGAAAAATATTTCTTGTTCTGTGTTGCATTCTCTCCATTTCCTCTGTGTATACATCAGATTATAATGTTGCCTTTTGTTTATTCAACACTTACATTTCAAAAACTTTCTCGTTTTTCCCACTTGTAAGAAATTCATTCCAGAAATGCTACGTAGACAATAATCAAGTAAGAAGTCCAATGTCACGTGCTAGAATTTTTAGATTCTTTGTAGAAAATATGGAAGGCAAATACTAGAAAATTTTAAATGAAATTTGGTTAAAAAAAAAAAAAGAAAGCTCTTAATCAATTTACTTGTTTCCGTTTACCTCGAAGCATCTGGAGATCAATGAATCTTTTTTGAATAGGAAAACACACTATCACTCGCATGATAGCGAAAATATAAATGTGATAATTAAAGATCTTTGAAGTTTTATTGAAAAATTGATTTTTGCAAGCATTTACAAAATGCGAAAATATAATACGAAGCAAAAAATAAAATGCGAAGTAAGTTCTTAATTAAAATTATATATCGTTAATAAATAGAAATTAATGCATGTAAATAAGCATTTAACAATAAAACAAATGCCTTTTTGAGATTGCACATGAAGATAAATAAAAATATATTTCCTTAAAAATAAGACTAAAACTCTCTTAATTTTAGACCAGAGGCAATTCACCTAGGCTTCAGAATATCATTGAATTAATGAAACGACAGCCATTTACAATAGTATTTTTTTTTATTTTACATTACAAACGATGCATTCCGATACCATAAAGAAATGTCAGTGTTTTCAAAATAAAATTTGTATTAAACAACCGATATATTAATATGGGTATGGAATATAATTTCAAAATATGTTGAAATATATAATTACAAGATATATTAATATGGGTAAAGTATATATGTTCAAGATATTTTTAAATATATAATTTCAATATATATTAATATGGTAAAAATATATTCTAAGTTTCAGCTTGGACTGCAACATAAACTTTATTTATAAACATATCCATAGCTAATTACTCATTATTTTCATCATTTGGACTGTTACCCTCATCTTCATTGTAGTATTCACGTCGTTTCGGCCGTTGAACGCTTCGAACTTCACCGTATATCATCCGAAACAGCCATAACGTTGTGAATATGGAAATCCGAACTATATAAATTGTATATTTAATTACAATAGCTCATCTCAGATATACAAACAAATCCAAAATTATTGAACACAGATACGCATATTTTATTAACGCAACATCACATATACATCAATAAATTATGATTAGTATATTATATTTAACTATACTCTTCTTACTATACACCTTAGACCTCGAACCGATGATTTTCGTAACTTTTTGTATTCTTAGTCAAGGCTTATAATATGTTTCTATAGAAAATAACGATACAAATCAAGTACCTATTAAAATACGTAAAAAATATTTATAATTTAACGTATTTTAACGTATTTTTGACTGTCAAACACGTTATCTCGCATTTTTTTTTTGTTATGACGTAGGCTATGAGTTAATTCAACCTGATATATTCTGATATATATATTTACATGCGTGCGCCTACAACAACTTTATTTGCTGGGGACATATTTAGTGTGAAGACAATGTTAAGACTTCAGTTGAATTCATAAATTAACTCATAAATGTGTTTTGTAGCCTAAGTTGTCTTTTATAAATTTGCCGTTCGAAGTCGGATTTTGTAATTGACATCTGGTAGTCAAAGTGTTAAAGTTTTGTTAAGAGTGTGATTAATGAATCATTACAGAAGCAATAGTCAATAAGAGATATATAATAACTGCTGAAGCTTATTATCGCTCGACCGTCACCAGAATTTCGCCGAATTACACGAACCTCTGGCGTCCGCTAAAATATCAGTTGTTTGAACATTTTCAGTTGACTATCTATTTGTAGGATAATGATTTCTAGACATTGAGACCATCATTATATAAGTCTAGCGTTGCTCAGCATAATGAAATATATATATATATATATATATATATATATATATATATATATATATATATATATATATATATATATATATATATATATATTATAATTAAGTAATTCACTGAGTCTAGAAGAAACCTCAACAGAATGCAGAAAGCACTGGACGGCCATTTCTTCCTATATTTGGGACTCATCAGCAGTGAGCATCCACTACCGAGAATTGAAACCCGGACAGTTATCAGGCAAACGTCATACCAACTGAAAACAATGGATCAATATTTATAAATAGTCTAATTCTTTTGTATCTATATGAAATATGTTTATACACTTCAAGATACCGTCTTTTGGGGCGAAATCTATTTGTGGTGAAATATATTTTATTTAATACGGTCTGTTTTCTTATATATTAATAGCTAGTAGAATAATGCATCATTAAAATTAGTACAAGTATTTCGTTATCATCTACTAATTGACTTATGTTGATAATTGTATTTTGTTTGACTGTGATGTGATAATCAATATATGCGCGGATTTAACTCGGTTTCAAAAAGGGACACGTCTGTCTAATAGACTGTGTTATTTATGCGGCCAGTTTGAGAATTTAACGCCGGTGATACAATCTTCTAGATGATTCGAGAATTCATAAAAACATCATTATTTTTAGACAAGAGGAATCTGGAGATTCTGAGACATTAGGTTAGATGTTCTGCACTGTTTACAATACGTAATAATTCTAAGCTATTTGGCGGAATCACAGAATGATCGGTGAAAACTTTGCATTGCTTTTACATCGAGTCTATATATAGGGCGCATCCGGTTAAGATATAAATGTTGATCCTTGCTGAAACTTAAAATGATTTCTTAAAATAAATATCGCAATGTTTTATTCAATAGAAAAAAGCAAATAGAAACCTAAGATGCAAATACCTTCGTGTTGTTTCCAATAAGAAAACGTGAGTTTTTATTTCGATTAGATCTTGGAAACAATAGATTTTTCCCTTTTTAAACTATTGAAAGTATTCCGTTCTTAAAACATTATTCCTCTGGGAGATGCACCATGAAATGATATATTTATTTCTGTAATATTCCTTGAAGCCCAGTACGAAAAAGAAGCCCCTAGCTATGTATTTTTCTTACTGATTAAACCATACGCGATATATAATAATATTTTCCTGCGATGTATGTCTAAAAACGGTTTTGAAGCCTTAAATGTTAAGCAGCTCAGTTACAAACCATATTCAATTGGGCATTATATTAAATATTTCTAGAGTATTATGACAACACCGTATTTCAAACAAAAGATAGATATGTAATACAGACGAAGAATAAGAAATAAAGAGCCTACACTGGCATGAAGGCGACTGGCGTAAAAAAAAAAATCCGCCTTATATTCATTTCAGATGAAGTTGCCGAAACTATTCTAGGTAACATTTGCTCTCAAGAATCGCTTGATGTGATCACACCTCATTCTGTCTTCGAGGCGTATATTTAAATAAATGTATATGGTTCCTGAATTTTCAAGCTCTGATAAACCTACCAAAGGGATTTGTCTTGACAGGTCACCGGGGGACCGTCAAAGAAAAATGAAATCTTTCAAGTGATCAACCAAGATAAAAAAAAAAACAACAAAAAACAAAAGAAAATACGATTTGGAAATAGATAACAACAACGACAACAGGTTACCTTATGAAAGATGAAAAACTGTCGTTTGTTTTGACGTATTTGGCAGGCCACTGATGAGAAAGTCAAAACCTAACAGGACTTCGCTCAAGATCTGGAAAATACTTAACCTTTGAAATAAAGAGAATCCAAGCGAACACATCATTTTATGAGATGAAATCCTGGAAATCTGAGACTAGTTTGCAACTTTCCATATAAGAGCAGCTTTAGGGTAAGAATATGGTGGAGATTTGATGAGTCTTGTTGCTACTTGATATAATTTCCAACAACCAAGTACTTTTGTGTTAAACGTAGAAATACGCAAATAACGACATTAATAATATACGCTCGTAAATACTGACATATGTTGGACATACAGGGGTTGGACAAAATAATTGGAACACTTGTTAAATTCAAAGAAAATTTATCTAAAATGGAGTTGGTCCTCCTTTAGCCTCACAGTCAGCTTTAATACGTCTAGAAATGGAATCATACAGCTTCCTCACTTCATCCAGAGGAATTTTCAGACATTCCTCCATTAAAACCTTCTCCAGCTCTTTACGACTTGCTGTTCCAAAATGCATCACAAATGTTCAATAATATTGATATCTTGAGATTGGGGAGGCGACTCCATGTGTTCTAGCTCACTTTCATGCTCTTCATACCAATTCTTAACCACTCGAGCGGTATGTATTGGAGCATTATCGTCTTGTAGGATGCAGTCACCATCAGGGAATAAAGTATTGGCCATTGGATGAACATGATCTCGCAAAATGTTCAGGTAAACTTTGCTGTTGATTCCACCATGCAGGACAACTATTGCACTGAGACATTTCCATGATATGGCGGTCCAAACTATCACTGATCCATTTCCATGCTTCACTTTTGGAAGAAGGGAGTCAGGATTGTAAGCTTCTTTGGGCTGCCTCCACACATAAACTCGACATGAAGTTGGGAAACGAGAAAAACTGGACTTGTTTGAGAATATGACTTGCTTCCATTGGTCTGCAGACCAGGCATTGTGATCTCTGCACCACTTCAACCTCTTTTGAATGTTGCGATTGGAGAGAAGATGTTTCCTCACAGCGGCTCTGCCATGATATGGAGCCTTGTGGAGCTCACGGTGAACAGTTTTAGTAGAAACTGAATTATTCAGATGGTTATTCAACTAAGCAGCCTGGGCGTAGAGTAAGATATTACCCAAATATTAATCTACTCAGCGTGTAAATTAATTTTTTAATTAACGAATGTAATCGAATGGGAAAAAAATGAATTTCAAGAAACTAAAGTCCAATAATATTCTGACCCAGCAAGCATTCCCTCTGTTTACAAAGGGAAGGCTCACGAGATCTGATATACAAGGACTCTAGAACCTTGAGGTGAAATGTGGAGTGGGACCTAGATAAAATTATAAATCGGCCGCCACTAAAATTTTCATATATATATATATATATATATATATATATATATATATATATATATGTGTGTATATATATCGTAGACACTCCTGACATTGATCGTGCTGTTGACCCGTGCCTACAGGGGATCCTTTTACAATGTATGAGGGTCAGGCAACCCAGTTCTTAGGAACCGACAGCCAGACAAACTGCACATTTAATTATAGCGGTGACGGTTTTGTGCAGAACCACCCAAACCTTTTAAAGAATCGAATACAGAGACCTGGTGCACCATCTTCGACAAGGTCTCCAAACAACTCTCCGCAGGTTTTAAATTCATAGTTGCCTTTCTCCTAGACTAATTACCATCCAAATCTATAGAACCTTGTCTGCTCTGGTATTTATCCACACACACACACACACACATATATATATATATATATATATATATATATTACTCTGTCTCCTGGTACCTATTTACTGATTAAAGTCAATTCCTATATATTTGACTCTATTTATGATTTTATATGCCTCTTCATATCTATTTATTAGTACCAAGAAACCGATAGCAGCGAGATTGTTAGAACATTATTGTCTAGTTTATGACGACGATAAATTCAATTTAAGTTAAATTCGTGAGAGAGAAAAGAAGAAGAATTGTCACAAAAAAGAAATTCGGTTAAAAATTACAAAGTTAAATGAGAGGCG